AAGAAGGAAAATGGTGAAAAAAATAATATTACTTTTTAGGGGAAAAAATCGAATTTCTTTATCATTTTCTGTTATTTTTTCTTAATTTTGCCTTTTTCAGGATCATGGCATGGGCATTGTTTGTACCAAATGTAAATGTAATATGTTGTATTGTGTAGAATTTTTGGCATTTGGGGTCGCCACTCTGTGTTTGGACATTATGCAAGTCTACATTAGTACTAAGGTACCACTTTTTTCTAATTATTATATGTGAATAATTCCCAAGAAATATGTAAAACATTATGATATTTGAATATAAAAATATGTAAATCTATTAGAATTATTATGGTTGACTCACGATTAAACAGCTTAAGAGCAACATTAATCTTAAGATTCTATTGAAGAGCAACATCCCTCTTATATATAATTTTCTAATGCGTTGAGAATGCGTGGATGCTTCTGGTGTTTCGGAATCTTACTTAGCGAATAATTATGTTTCGTAATTAGGTTTAGACAAATAATATTGATATATTAATAATTAATAATCTAGGTTCGGACATGTCATAAATATTATTTAGCTAACTTAGGTGTTTTAATATTACTTGTACTATTATAACCCGTTAATTCTTTGTAATTTTACATAGTGAGACACTAATATCACTGACTTTTGATTTGTTTCCTTCAATTAGCTATTGATATTTTTCTTTTAAATTTTATAGAAAAGGAAATGCAAATCGATATTGTTGTTCGGACATATTTTCTTTTAATCACTAAGGTCAAGGGTAAGGGCGAATTTACGTACAGTGATAGGGGAGCAATTGCCCCCCCTCAAATTTCATTTTTTTTTACTATTAATATTACTAATTTTATTTTGCTCCCCTTTAAATTTATTTTTGCACCCGCTGATTTTTTGTTTTTAAACGTCAATCACCAGAACTTGTCCACAATTGTCAATTAACAATTCAACACTTCTTTTATTTAAATATTAATTTTTTATATTAAATATTATCCTTCTACAATTTTAATTGGCTCATATAAAAGACTCAAACTCTCTTTTATTGCCGAGGCTAGGGCTGGTATTTTTGACCGAAAATCGAATGGAACCGAACCGAACATGTGAGAAAATAAACCGAACCGAACAGATGAGAAAATAAACTGAACCGAACCGACTTATGTGTAACAATAACCGAAAATCTGTTAGGGAAATGTTATCAGTTCGATATCAGTTCTAAACCCATTATGTCACATCTTTGCCCCCTCCCAACTAATTTTATGGTTTCGGCCCTGGTAAGGGTGTCACTGGGTGGTGTGGTATTTTTTACTTTAACGAAGGCGGGAATTGAATCATCTTATAGTAAGATGAAGCATCTCATTAATATTACAATTTATGGTTTTATTTCATTACTCATTTTTATCTTTATTTTTTATGTTATTATATAAATTATTGTAGTTACTCTTTTAATCACCCGTGTATCACACGGGTGTTGTACTAGTTAATATTAAAAATTCTATTTTGGACTGTCGGGTTTGCTATGGAGCCATCGGATGACTCGCATTATGGAGTCATCTATAGTTATCCACAAATGGTGTATTGACACGTGTCCTGCAATAAATACACATTAGACACGTGTCAATACATAAAGTTATGAATGACTTCATAAGGGAACCATCCGAGAACTCTATAACATTTCTGTTTGTCGGGACTGTATGATTGAGTAACGATTAATCACCCTAAAACATCATAAATATTAAAACTCAGAAATGGTTGGCAAATTCCATATTTACTGTCTCTGCAATTTAAAAGCTGGTAGCAGAAAACAGGTGTGGGGCGGAGCCACCCTAAGGCTAGGGTGGACTCCAACCCCATGTAATTTTTTGCTACCCTTATTTTTGCTAATCATATTTTCTAAAAAAATTTATACAGACCCATTAGCCCCATGTAATTTATTATGTAGCCCCATTTAATTTTTGGGCTGAATGACTCAAGATTATCTTCATGTTAAAATTTGTTATCTGACAACAATGGTGGAAAAATGATGATTATAGTGAGGAAAAAAGATAATCCTTTATTGTCAATGACAATTGTGACCTTATTAGATTTTTATCAATTGAGTTTATAATGTGGCACAACACACTCTTGTCTTTTAAATTTTTAAATTTTTAATGGGTTGACTTGACAAATATAAAATGAGCTGGATAATTAAGCTTGACACAGACTTCACCAGCGGGCTATTTAATTGGATTCGTCTCATTCCACAGTCCGTTATCTATTTTCATTTATTTTTTTTTTTCTTTTGCCTCCAATAATTAATTCGACATCATTTTCCAGACAAAGAGAAAACTCGTACAGAGTTGATTGCAAACATGTTCGACTTTATTTGTTTGATCGACAAGTTCGATTAGCTATTTGAGTTTGGCTTGTTTAAATATATAAATGATTCGAGATTGAGTTTTTCCAATTCAAACTGACATATGTTAGCATATAATTTGTTTATAATCCTAACCAAAACCAGTTACATGCCGAAACCGTCGATATCGGGCCGAGAGTTGGAGGGCCCTGAACCGACGCGAACATATGTACGGGTCGGTTCATTGAATTGTCGATTACTGGTCGTCCGGTTCATTAAAAAAATATAAAATAATTAGAATAATATTTTTAAAAAATGAACCTTGGGTTCCGATTCCCGTTCGGAACCAAAACTGCATGTTCAAAATATATAAATTATAAAGTATTGTACATGAATCGAATTAGTCAAAACCACGGGTTTGTTCAAGACCCATGGTCAACGGGTCTGCTTGTGTCGGTTTGGATCGAACCGACATGTTGGGTCGACCCATTACCATGTATACAAGATTCTAATAATAGCTACAATAATATACCATGCAGGTTAAAAAAAATCCTGGCTATGCCCTGGGTGTGTGAGATTGAAAGAGACTTGGCCAAGTCAATAAATTTTAATAGCTTGATAGTGAAGTCAAACCCGATAATGTGAACACGGGTCATTTGTGGGTTGAAGTAGACAAAAAAAAAAAAAA